TGTCATAGCTGCACATCCTTCTAGTTGCTGTATGTGGGACGCGGCCTCAGCAAGGCCGGACAAGCGGTGCGTAGGTGCACACCCGGGATCTGAACTCGGGTCGCCTGTAGCAGAGCGCGCGCACTTAACCGCTAAGCCACGGGGCAGGCCCCAATATATTCCCTTTCTTTTGCAGTTTTGTTTTTTTCTTAACTTCGTATTTTTAAATTAGTCATACAGTATGCCTCTCATTTCTCTAAAAGCCTTCCCTGGCCCCCGTTGTCTGCAGGAGGAAGTCCAAGTTCAGTGTATGTGTCGCCTGAGAGCTTACCTGGCTCCTCTTGTTTTTCTGGCCTCTGAAAGTACTACTTTCTGTCCCTGTGCTTCAGCTCTCTGGTACTATTTGTAGTGCCTTGAGTGGGCGTATTGTGTCCTTGTCTTTTCTACGTCCCTGAACACTTGTCCTTCCTTCTGCCTTCTGTGTTTACTGTTAGCGCACCAGGTCTGTTTTTGCCTGCCACCCAGAAAGCCAAACACCCAGACGACGAGAAGGGAGAGAGGGTTTATTAATCACAAGGCAGCCAAATGAGGAAATGGGAGAATGAATTTCAAATCTGCTTCCCTGAAAATAGGGACTCGGGTATTTATAGGGTAGGGGACAGAGTGGTCTGAAATGCTTGGAAGTGAGGAGAGATGAGGTAATTGATGATCTGCGCAAGCGTAGTCGGGCTCCGTGCTTCTTTGTAGGACGCATGTTCACAGAATGATGGCGCTGGCATGCTCTGAGGGTGGGGTTTTAACCTCTTGATGTCAAAAGGTTGCTTATCCGACACATCTCTGCGTGGGCCCAGTTGATGGGTTGGTGGTCTCAGTCCGACCTGAAGTGGACAAGGGGTTCCAATTCCTGAAAAAAATAGCTTGCACACCCATTACCATGGTGACCCAGGCTCCAGGGAGATGTCACCCATAGGAAACTAGTGGGAGTCAGATACCACATTGCCTAAACAGCACAGTTAACAATGGGCAAGTTTACCATGCAGATTTAAGTCCTCACCTTCTGTCTGAGGCGGAAGTTTCTAGGTAAGGCCATCCCCCTCTTCTTCCTGATACAGGGAAGAAGATACCACAAATGGAGATTTCCTTTACAAGTGTAAATGTCTCTTACAAAGGGTAACCAGAACTAAGAATGGGCTTAGCAGGGACCCTCCCAGATACCCGGAGATGTTTATGGTGATGGCCTGTTTTGGGGGCAGGCCTCTCATCCCAAATTCTGGGCGTCAGAGTGTCTTTCAAGCAGAGACATATTTTGAGGTGGCCACTTCCTATCCCCCGTAGTTACTAGCTGCTTAATCGTTAATGGCTAACTGTTTGCCAGTTTCATTACCAAGGCTTCATCTTCTCTAGGAAAATCTTCCCGTCCTTCCACCCCCACCCCCACCCCTAGCATGTCTGGGCTAGGTGTCCCATAACACCTTTGTATAACTGTACCATGGCTCTACTCATCCGATTTTGTAATTGTTTATGCCAGCTGTTCTCCAGATGTGGTCTGGGGTCCCTGAGGTCTCCTAAGATCCTTTCAATGGTCTGAGAGGTCAAGTACTGAGTTTTTCTACTATAACATGTGAAAACACCTAATGTTTTGCAATATAGCAGGGCTTGTGGGAAAAATAGCCTTGGGGCATATCACTCAAAACTTATGCAACTGTGTAGCAAGTTTACCAGCGAAAACAATAGCAATCCTAATAAAATTTCTAGCATAGCTAAATATCTACTGAGATTTGCACCTAGCATCACAGTTAGTCAATCTTTCACAACCTTAAACCCTAGGGTTCATCTTCCTCCTTTGAGATTTAAGCCCTGGAAGACAATTTGCTAATGGATATCTTTTTATTTGCATATGGATGTCATTTTTATAAAAACTTTAAAAATCTGGTTCTGGATATAGCCTTCACTAGTCTGTTGTTTTAATTCAGGGAAAAGGTCTTAGCAATTTTTCATCTGCATTCACAGTGTCCCTAGATCGCTTGAAGATACTGTTATCGGCGTCTTATTGCCTTATGGGAAGCTACTCTGTATTTTCAGCTTTTCGCTTAAAGATTTTCATAAGGTGCTAAGGGATCTCTTTAATATGTGGAAGCTTGTACCTTCCTATCACTGCAAAACATGAACATGTATTGTGAACCACTCAACTTCCTTATTATCTCCACATCATCACCCTATTTACTAAATGTGTGAGCTAATTTGTGTTAAACATGCATTGTAGCCGATTGTACCTTGTACCTCCTATTCCAGGAAACCAACTTCCAGACCGCCTCTTTCCTGAATACCCTTACTGCTTTCCGTTCAGATCTTTTGTGTTTCCTGTCAGACCGGAGAGAAAGGAGTCCAGGAAATCTGGTTTCACAATTTTGCACGGCTTCTTGTTGACAAGGCAATGTTTTCTCCAGCCTTCTGAATACCTGGTCTCAGGTCGCTTGCAGTACATCTGAAACACAGGTTACACTGCACTTTCTAAAATGGAAATGTAATTATCCCTCTCTTGTTAGTATCTGTGACTGAGTCTCTCTCTGTTGCCTCTAGTAGATGTTCTGAAGTTAGAGCGGACTCATGGGTCTCTAGGAACTCGAGAGCCTTCTGAAATGGTATGCAAAAACTGATTTGTTCATTTTTAAATAAAGAGAGGGACCATAAATATGATCAGACTCTCAAAAGGTTAAAAAAAAAAATTACTGGCCTACAGAATAAAGGTCTCACAGTGCTGAAAAGTACCCAACTGCATGCAATTTCTCAAAAGTATCTTCGGCTCTCTTGCTTTAATACCAGCTGTTTTCTCAGCCTGTAATTCCCTTCCTCTTTTACCTATGTTACACAGTTCATGCCTTTAGGAAAGCTTTCCTTGATCCCTGGATCTGGTTCCCTCTTTGGGTTCCTCTGAGCTTCTGTAGCAACAGTCACATGCAGTGTAGCACTCCATCTCTTTACAGATGGGTTCTCTGTTGAAAGTGGGCATGTGAATGCCTTCCTCATAGGCTTATTGTAATCTTTAATGAGATAATATACAGATAATGCTTAATACAGTGTCTGTCAGCGAATGTTAGTAGTTGTTGTTTGCATGGGTCGTCGTCTTGCCTTTCTCACCAAGAGTGTGATCTTCTGTGTAGTAAAGTCAACATTTGTTTGTTTGTTTTGTCATGTTTATTTTGGATCTGTTAGAGTTCAGAAGGACCTGAGAAAGTGTCAGGTCCCTCTTCCGCCCTAGAACCAAACAGAAGGGAAATAATTTTTCAAACTAGTAAATTATGGCATTTTCAGGAGATGTTCATTAAATGTCTATGCATATATGGTCAGAATTACTCATAAAGTCCTCAGGCAGCTGCCACACTGGAGACTGACAGAAGCTATCTCCCAAGCTAGTGTGGCCACTTTTTCTTTCGTCTTGGAAAGACATTCACTCTCTGAGTACCAGATGAAAAAGTTAACCTGTGCTTAGAGGGCATGTCATTAAAAAAAGTCTTTAAATGCTAGAAGTGCACTCAGCAAGTCAAGATTCTTGAACTACAAAAGGACGCCAAAACTAAGAACTGTCGAAGGAACAGTGGATTGACATCTCCCATTGCAGTACACGTATGAAATACACTCATTGCGGAGAATGGTACTATAAGCCCTTGTACTTTTTAAATTATTTCTTTTTTGGGTTCTGCTGGGCATTGGACCCAGCCAGGTTTGTGTAACTGAGTTTGAGTAAGTTAAATAGGAGTGTCACCGGGGTTCGCAGTATTTCCTCTGCTCTGAAAGTTAAGGAGATCATAGGAAAAGACAGAAGGGGGCACACACAGACCATGGGACAGGCTCTGGTGAGGAAGCTGCCCCAGTAGTGCTGGAGCAGCTTGGTGCAGTGCCAGGGGCCTGGGGACCCTAGGAAGCTTGAGGCCCCAATTGCTTTTCTTCTCTAAAGTCAGGAGGAAGGGTCCAGCCTTGCCAGAGTTAGCGGTCATAACTCTTGTTTTTGGCCCTGGGTATTTCATTTCTTGCTTTCCCACTCTGCTGATTTATTAATTCAGAAATGAATTGATAAATGAATTTACTTATTAACTATGGTTGAATAAAGCTTAAATTGTGTATTCCATATTATGTATTGAAATTCCTACTTTATCAAGTTGCACTTATGTTTCCATTCAAAGATGCTGAGTTGATTTGTTAAAGAAGTTCAATGTGTGTGTATGTGTGTATAACATATGTTCTAGTGCTCAAAGTTGTTAATAAAATTTGTGGTCTCCTTATTTATCTCAAGGTTTACCAGGCAAAACAATCTTAATACATACATACATATGTGTGTCTGTATATATATATACACACACACACACACACACATTTTAAACATATGGGTCTGTTTTTTTTTTTTTTTTACATTTTTTCTTCAGTGTTTGGGTAATATATATGCTTTGTGTTAACATTTTGAATTTATGTGGTGCATTTAGGAATTGTTAGCGGATTCTTAAGTTTAGGAATTCTAAGTCAATCAGGTAATTCATGCATATTAAACTAGGCTTACCATCTGACCACGTGGCTTAGAAGAACATGGTTGCTGGAGTCTGAAAGACCTGGGACCATGTCCCAGCAGTGTTGCTTTCTGGAGCAGCACTGTCCAGTATGGCAGCTGTTGGCCACATGTAGCTATTAAGCACATGAAATGTGGCTAGTGTGACTGAATTTTAAATTGCATTTAATTTTAATTAAGTCTAGGTAGCCACGTGTGACTAGTAGCTACCATGTTGGGCCTCACAGTATGAGGTGACTTAAATTTTCTGTGTCCCAGATTTCCTATCTGTACAGATGAGATCATACATAGGCTACCTTTTGTGGTTGTTTTGAGAATAAATAAAATAATATGTTTAAGGAGCTTAACACTATGCCTGGAGCAGAATATGTCCTTGAGAAATGGTAGTTAGTTATAATGACTTATATATTTAATAAACTGGAATTACTTTCCTTTTGAGCGTTAATTTAAACCTGTTTATTTTTATTCTTCCCTTTCAGGATTAATTTATTTTTGGAAATCAAGTGCAATATTAAAAGGAAAACAAACCACACTACATTATTGGAAGCCATTTCTGCTAATTGTAATACATTTTAAAATTTATGATTTGATTTGAATACTATCATGGGAGGAGCTGTGAGTGCTGGGGAAGATAATGATGACTTAATTGATAACTTAAAAGAAGCTCAGTATATCCGCACTGAAAGAGTGGAGCAAGCCTTCAGAGCGATTGATCGCGGAGATTACTATTTGGAAGGCTACCGAGACAATGCTTACAAAGATTTAGCCTGGAAGCATGGGAACATACACTTGTCAGCACCTTGCATTTATTCTGAAGTTATGGAAGCATTGAAACTTCAACCAGGATTGTCTTTTCTTAACCTGGGAAGTGGAACCGGATATTTAAGTACAATGGTGGGCTTAATTTTAGGTAATTTTTTTTTTTGTAAAATTCTATTTTAAAAAGTAAGCTGAGTTTGTATTACTGTTTATGATTTACAGGGTTTGTAACTTGGTGTACAGTATATGTTTGAATGTATATACTCAAAGTGTTTATGTTCCTTACTTAAGTGTGGAAACAGAAGGTAGTAGTAATCTTTTCTTATTCTCAGCCCTGACCCTGATAGTTAGCTTCTTCCTTCAATCCTAGACTTAAAAAGCTTTTAGAACTGTTTTCCAACCCCTAATCATTGTCTCTACTTAAAATTGAGCAGCCGGTAGGCAGGAAACTCAGGAGTACCATGTAGTCTTTCAGTGAAGTGTTCTTACTGCTGGCATAGAGAGTGTGATAGTTATCAGTGTCCCATTTAAAGGGGACGGTGCTGGGTTTTTCTTAGAAATACAGGAGTCTATGGGATATAGAGGTTGTAGCACTGTGAGGCAAAGCAAGGGATTGGAGAAAAACACAGAAGAGAGAAGTGTATGTTGTGAAGCTTTCAGCATACCTATTGAGGGTCTCTTGTGGCAGGCGTTATTCCTGGCATGAGTATGCAGCAGTGATTGAAAGGAACAAATATCTCTGCCTTCGAGAAGCTTACTGGGTGCTTACTGCGAGGGCTGGGCATTGTTTAAAGCACTTGACTTATAATAACTCACTCACTGTTCCTTATAATCCTGTGAAGTACATACTATTATGATTCCCGTGTATATAGGTGAGTAAACTGAGGTACAGAGAGGTTCAGTAACTTTAGTCTAAAGTCACATAGTTAGGAAGTGACAGCTAGGAACTATGGAATGTAGGTGGGAAAAGCATTGTTGGAGGAAAGTCTGCTATAAGACATTATGATGTTGGATGAAGGATGAACAGCCATGGATTTTACTAAGCCACTTAGTATTTACTGAGTGCTGCTGTGTGACAAACATTAAGGTAGAGCATTAAAGCCCACAACATAGATTTTGGTCCTTGAGTTCACAGACTGGTGGGGGTGGAGAGACCTAAGAAAATGAACAGTTCTCGTGCAGTGTGATGTGTGCTATAGTTGAGGTATATGTCCAAGTTATAGGGGTGAGACTGTGGTTTAAAATTCACTCTAAAGTGACGGGGAATCATTGAAGGATTTTAAAGAGAGGAATGACTGCACTCTAGTAGGTGACCCTATGTCCCAGTGTGCTGGGGCCGTCCTAGTTTATCCTGTTGTCCTCGCATCAGTATTAATACTGTCCTTTTCATTCCTGAAGTGCAAAGTGTCCCAGTTTGGACAGTAAATTATGTGGTCATGTTATATGACTTTTAAGGCATTTTTAGACCTGAAACTCTTCTTTCCTACATACTGGCTATCCTTTACTTTCTCTCGTAGTCATGGAACCTGCCATCTACTTCATGGAAAAAAAAGCCTTTTTATCCCACAACTAAGGCAGTTACTGATACATAATAACAGCTCAAAAATGGTAGCAGATTATTAACTGCTCAAAAATGGTAACAAATTATTAATTTTTACTAAGAAAGAAATTTAGCAGCTTACATTTAAATTGGTGCTCCTGTCTGTCCTGAGATAGGAATTTCTCAGCAGATTGGGAACCCAGACATCTATCACTTCTATCACTAGAGCCTCCTTGAAAAAAGAATCTCTAGGGTTGGAGATAGTCTCCAAATCAAAGGAACTTAGCAGGGGGAGTAGAGAGAGCTTCTTTTCAAAAATGGGAGTTGCCTTCCTTGAACCCGTGCATTTCTTGACCAGCTCTGGCAACTTTAGGCTGGCATTCAGGCCTCATACCATGTCTGGCCAGCTTTAGAGCGCCTGTTTTCCTGTCTTCTACTTCTCCAGCCCTGTCAGCTGGCTCCTGCTGAGGGAGGTCAGTCTAGCCAAAGGCCTGGCAGCGGGGAGAGGGGCTCATAATTAACAACCTTGGTAGCAATGAGGTCACCCTCTTAAACTCCATTCCGTAGTCCCAGTCTCTAAGAGATTAGATTCCTGTGGCCAGATGCATTTGTAGGCCAACCTCAAACTGAATTGTATCTTGATTGTGTTTTAATCCATACCAGAGGGCAGTATGGGGAAACAGATCCTTCTGTAAATGATCCACAGTGCACTAGATATTTCCTCCTGTTAACAAGGCTCCAGGGAGTCATGGATCTTTAGTTATGTGTATGACTACGGTTACTGAACATTATTCCAGGGTTTATCTATGTGTGATTCTGCACAATCAAATCAATATAGAGTTCCTCTCCTTTTAATGGGAAATAATCATTTGGGAAGAAAGATAAAATAAAAAAATTTTAAAGAAGGAAAGGCAGAAAAAAGAGTGTAAAATTATGATTAGAGCTAATAAATCTTGGGATCTAACTAGCTTCTGAGGAAGCTTAATCTTTTTTTCCTTCTTCCCCCTTTTTTGGTTTGTGTTTCGTGAGCCTTTAAGTCAAGGAGGGGAGGATACATCCATAAAAATCACTTAGAACTAGATCCAAAGAAAGATGCTTGCGTGCTCCCTATAATTATCTGAGTGTGATGCATCAGATTTGGCTTCACTGCTTCAGTGGCCTCACTAAGAGAACTCCTCTCCTTATTAAGTAGCTGTGACACCATGGCTCTCAGCCGTGCTCCTCTCCCAGTCACAAGACGGTGATGACAGGTGCTCACCACAGGCCGCGATTCTCAGCTGGGGGCATACTCAGTGTAATCTGGAGGAATCGAGCTGAGGCAGGGAGAGCCAGGGCGTCTGTGGTTTGGTAATGCAGACAAGGAAGGTGCCCCTTGAGGAATTTCCCCTGCCCCTCCAGAAACACCTGTAGAGGATGGGCTACAATCTTGAGAGAGCTTTTGTTCAGTGAGAGGAAGTTGCGTTTATCTTAACTTCCAGAAATTACTTGTGATTAAAGTACACTTGAAGCAGTTACTCATAAAATTTTTGCTTCATACCTGGAGAGTGGATCACTCCAACTGCTAAGATGCCTCATGTAGACAACTTGTTTACTTTCAAATTGAAGATAAATCTTCCTTGTTCTACTCGCTTCTGCTTAAGAGTCTTCCTAAGACTAAGGATTTTCACAGAGAATCTAGTACTTAATAGATTCTCCTCTCAGTGCTGTCTTCTCACACCTAGGGAATCCCATTGAAAAATAGGGTGCAAGAAAAGAGGCCTCCCAAGTCCTGTACTTCCCAGAGTTGAGTTAAATATCAGAGCCATGAAGGCAAGTTATTCTGAGGTAAGAATGGTTCTTCTCCATTGTGATCCTTTTTGCTTAGAGATTCACTCCCATTTTCTTACATAACCCATAATATAAAAATTATAGTTTTCTTATAAAACCTGTAATATCAAAGTTCATCCAGCTTAATGACTTGCTTAGTCTCTTGCCTAGTTCCTGAGTTAATAGGACTGACTCTGGAGGGTCTGCCAGAATCATTCCAACACTATGTATGTCGCCACCTCAACCCTACAACGTTAATTCCTAAAGGTGAAACAGTTGACAAGCATGTGTGCTTAACAAGAAACTTACTGCCAACATATATAAATACCTAGAACTGCTGTATTGTCCAAAGAGGTTGGTTAGTTAAGCGACATGTTGCCATCATGTTTGGTGTCTATACTCTTTTTACCTCAGGGCATTAAATGGTACTTATTCAGCTACCCTTATATTGCCTTTGGCCTCAGATACTCCTGTTTTCTCTCTCGTTTTAGCTCCCCTTCCTTCAATGAAGTATAATTTATATATGTAAAATTCACCCCTTTTAAGTGTACAATTCAGAGAATTTTAGTGAATTTTCACAGTTGTGCAAACGTTGCCATAGTCCACTTTGAGAACACTTCCACCTCAAAAAGATGCCTCATGCCCAGTTGTGTCAATTCTGTCCCCACCCTAGCCCCTGGCAACCACTTACCTACTTTCTGTCTCTGTAGATTTGTCTTTTTTATACATTTCATATAAATGGAATCATAACAATGTATGGTCTTTTGTGTATGGTTGTTTTTCACTTAACATTATGTTTTCAAGGTTCATCCATGCTGTAGCATGTATTAGTACTTCATTTCTTTTTATGGTTGAATAACATTCCATTATGTGGGCATACCACATTTTGTTTGTCCATTCGCAACTTAATGGACATTTGGGTTACCACTTTTTGGCTATTATGAATGATGCCGCTATGAACTTGCATGTAAAAACCTTTGTGTGGACATCTGTTTTCATTTCTCTTGGGTGGATTCCTAGGAGTGGAATTGCTGGGCCGTATGGTAAGTTTATGTTAACTTTTTAAGAAATTGCCAAACTGTTTTCTAAAGTGGCTGGACCATTTTATATTCCCAGCAACAATATATGAGTTTCCAGTTTCTGCACCCTCACTGATACTTATTTTTTTTTTAATAGCCTCTTAGTGGGGCTAAAGTGGTATCTCATGGTTTTAACTTGCACTTCCCTAACGACTTACGATGTGGAGCATCTGTTCCTGTGCTTTTTGGTCATTCCTATATCTTTGATGAAATGTCTATTGAAATCTTTTCCCCATTTTTAAATTAAGCTGTTGGTGCTCTTTATTGAGTTGCAAGTGTTTTTTTATATTTTTTATATACAAGCCCTTTATTGGAAATATGATTTTCAAATACTTTTTCATACTCTTTTAAGCACCTCTTTTAACTCTCTTGGCTCACTTCAGACCAGAGACTCAGGGAGATCCAGAGTGGTCTTCTGCCCTCCCTCTCCCTCATTATTTTTGGTAAGGCAAAACACATTCTGCAGGTTTCCAGGGTTCTCTCTAAGGTAGATTATATTTTCTGTGTTAAACCAAACCTCCGCTTTCTCGCTATCCTCTATCCTCCTTTTTTTTTTTTTGGAGGAGATTTGTTTTTTCTTTTCAGGAATTACAAAGGCTGTTTTTTGGGCTCTGAGCAAAACTATTTTGAAAAGAACCCTTTATTTAGGCTACTCACATTTTCTGAAATCAGTAAAGCTCCTCACTGTTTAAACTGTTACTTCTTAGTACTAGTTAGGCTTCTGTG